AGTCATGTTGAATAGTTTAAGTTTTAAACTATAATATTCATGACAAAAATATTACTCTACATATTTTGGCTTATTCAGTATTTTTAACATGACAAGTTTACACTGTAAGTAATATACTCGCTACATAAGAAACCTTAATAACCGATTTCTGTTTTATATTAGAAAGCATCCAACAAGAAACTAGAAGTTGGATTTCTTCTGGTGGTATAATTTGTACATTAATAATGACCTTGAAATGACCTCTTAATTAGATTAAAACAAATGTTAATGATACACAATCATATAATAAAACAGAATACACATATGTGCACAGATTATAAATACAGATATATTTATACACACATACATCGACAAGAGAAAATCCACAAGCAACTACACTCGTAATTAAAGTATTTAGTCAACTCACAATCTCCCAGAAATAATTAGACTGCACTACTATGAGAAACACAAAAAATACTTAATATTTGGAGAAAAAATAAACATTTGTTAGGAGACCACTGGAATAACATTAAACAGTTAAAAAAAGGAAAGAAACAACTGATAACAGAAAAAACTACGACGCATGTGTTAAGACTAATGGACTATTTTTATTCTAATAGCTGGGATTCATTATATTTTGTAAACAACTTCAGTCCTAAAGTGATAAATACCTGCAGTGATTTACTAACTAAGTTCCTTATGTGATCAAGGTTTTATAATATAAAAATGAGCTACGATTTAATAAAATACAATTAATAGCCTGAGAAACTGAGATTAAATCACTGCATCACTGTTACACTAAAGAAAGGATTCAAGTAGGCCATTTCTTTTTTCTTGTTCCTGACCCTGGATGCTATTTTATACATGTAGTTAAAAGATTTTGAAGTTATATGAACTCAAAGTTAATAGAAAATACATGGACAATAACCCTGGTTTTAGTTTTTCTTTACAGAAAAGCTGTTAAACCAAAAATACAAAGTGATGTTTAAAGTTTGGAAATGACAAAACAAAACATATGTTTCATCATGAAATAAGTAAATTACAACAAAGCATTCAATTATGTAAGAGGGAGTAATGCACAACTGTAGTAAAGTTCTGGAAGTCATGTCTTGCAAAAGGATTAGAAATAACTATATTACAACAAAGCATTCAATTGTGTAAAGGGGGATAATGCAAAACTCTAGCAAAGTTCTAGAAGACATGTCTTGCAAAAGGATTGAATATATTTTATATATTGATAATATGTATAACTTTCACACAAATTAAATTGTAAGAGCATAGAGCCATCTGTAAAACAAGTTCAATATTAATGACTAAAATATTATTTTACATATATATATTGGTTGAAAGCACTTTTATACGGGAAGAACCTACACAATAAAAATACTCATACCTGCTATGCAAGACACCTAAAAAAGGGGTTTCTGCTTTTATACTAGAAAGCTTTCAACAAAACACTGGAAGTCTGATCTCCACTGGTGGTACAGCATTTACACTTTATATTTCTGATTCACTAAACATTTGTTACTTTTTTTTAGCTGTGGCACAGTAGCTCAGTTTATTTTTCCAAGTAAAAACTTTTAGCTCATAGCTCCATCATCTCTTAACCGATTTGAGATCTAATTAAAGTTTTGGACTCAAAAGGTCAAACCCTTTTTACTGATGTACTTGACCATGTCCAAGATTTCATAGATTAATTTACTATAATCCTAAAATAATTTCAATTTGAGGGTATATGGATATATGCACGCCCATACTTGTTATTGCTGGTGCACAAAAATATAACTAATAAAAAGTAAAAAAATATATCATAGATTAATTTACTCTAATTCTGCCTAAAATAATTTCAAGTGCCACAGCTACTTAGAATTTCCTCTTGTTTAAATTAAGACACCTTGTTTTCATGCAATCTGAATTTTACATTTTGAAAATTCATTGTTACAGTTATTTTTCCTATACACACTTTTTATCGATATGTTATAATGTGCAGCACAACTATGATTTGTTTAGATATGAGAATCATACTCTTAAAACAATTACTACAAAATTTATTAATAGCCACACTGTCAAAAAAACACCCTTCAAATCCTGTTTTGGTAGTTTTCTGAAAGAAAAAATCCAAAACATGCAAGCTTTTTAATGGTTTTAAACATTTATTCAACTAAACGTATAAAACCAAATATTTCTAAAGCACAGGTTCAACAATAGCTTACCTGGTCAATATTTAGTCTAAGAGGTTTAATTGACACCCTTAAGGAACATTCTTCAGTTTGGAGATTTAGATCTGGACGAATGTGAACTGCTTTAATCTCTACCTACAGAAAAGTTTGGAAGACTTTCCTTATTATTAAATTTACTTTGAATAGCATGCTTATCAACCAGAAACTGCACAATTATGCTTAACTTATTAAAGGACTTAAATTAATAATTCCAAAACAACCAAAAAAATATTTCCAGAACAGCTTTTTATCATCATAATTGCTATAAACCTATTCAACCTATTTTTGTTAACACTATAGGTCACTGTTTACTAAACAATAAACATTTATGCTTTTAATGCATGTGTATGAGTTTAGAGTTTTAAGTTTACCTCATAATCCAATAATATTAACTGAGTAGGAATACTATTAGTTTGCCTACATAGTAATAAAATAAAAATTTGAGATTTATTTAATAAAAAAGTTATTCTAAGACAGGAAAACACTATCTTTACCATATTGGCATGAGACTGTTTCGGCATAGCCTCAGACGTGTATTGATACAAAAATTTGTTAATTTGTGAACTAGCTAAACGGTCCCTGATCTCAACATCATGGATTAACAACACGTGCCGTGAAGCTTGTTCAGAGTTTTCAGGGTATACTTCATATTGGAAACGCACCTGAAAATATAAGCAAACATAAAACCAAAGACATTTCTACTTTTAAATATAAACACACAAAGAAAGAGCACAGAGAGAATTTTAATTTCAATTCAACATAACTCCAGAACTGAGAATTTTTCCTTCACTTGAAAGCCTAAAGATATTTTTAATAGTATTTATATACACAGAAATACTTATATACTAATGTATACTTCAACTGAAAATGATGTACTTTATAACAAGCAAGTACATAATTTCTCCGAAAGTGGGCCGAAAATGACGTCATATAAGGGACACTTAGCGTTGCAATTTGTACTACTGTGACGTCAGTAAAATGTTAGCATGCCACGAATCACAAGAAGAATTATGTACTCCGTAGACTACAACATAGCATGACATATGAACTTCAAAAGCAAGAAATAAAAATATCTGTTACTCTTAATTTTGGTTTTCTTTCCTTTTGAATCAGAACACTTTTGGTGATCCCGTGGAAGTACATCTAGTATTTATATGCATTCACAACCATACCTTGAAGCTAATCTATAATAAGCATTCATTTTATTTCCTCATGAAAAAAAATTTTAATATACTTTAATTACTTTCAATTATTTGTTTCCTTTCACTGTTTAAACTTGAAACCTATTTTACATACTTTACTCACTCTGATAATTTGATGTTTTATATTAATACTGTTGTCTTTATTTCTCTTATATTATAGTCCTTTTCTACTTCTTGATTTCAATTAAAAGTATGTTTTCTTTATTGGCCAACTTTATACTCAGTTTCTCAGCTTACTTTATTCATTCGAAGTTCCATGTGGACATTGTGACGGCGACCAGGCCCCCCATCCGTCAACCAACTTTTGGCAGAATGATGAGTGTGTCTTGGAGAGGTTTGAGAGTAAGTCTCCAAAGTAGGAGAATCAGTTCCACTAAATTTACTAAATGAAACACCCATTCCTTGTGGATGAAAATGAATAGTTGGTCCCCTGCTTCTGGAAGTAATAGGTGAGTCTGGCTGGTCTTTACCTTTGTCAGATAACCTGAGGCATAAACAAATCTGATTAACCTCAGTGGTAAATAATATCAAAGCTGTTAAAGTGTTAATCTTTTTAACATAGCTAACATGATGAAACATTAAAATAAGACTATAAATATTTTTTAACACTTTCTTTATAAACTGTTAGAAACTTTAAATCCTGATACACTACACATTACAAAAAATTAGCGTTAGTCTTTGAAAGAAATGAAAAAGCTCGGACATATTTAAACAGTAGCTGACAATGTGCTTGAATAACGTACATATGGAGTGAATATACCTTGAATTTGCTTCATATTTGCAATTTGCATCACAAGCTCAACAGTCATTTAACTGCTGTGGAGGTCCAGAAGCATTTAAAAATGATTTTTGGTGAAGTTTTGATGTATCTTGGAGGATTATCTTATTAAATGTGTCATATTAGTACAAATGATAATGACGCACACATCTAAAGAACTGTCAATGTTATTAAAAAACTGAAACGATATCATTTAGTTTTGAGTCTCACATTTTGAGTGTGCTTTATACCCTTTTTTTAATGAGCAGAGATATATCTAGTTTATCACGTGGTGTTCATGTGAAGCCAATACTGTTTCGAAGCTCTGTGTGCACGGAAGGTAATGATGTTGACACCTGATGCCATGTGAAAAGAACAGAAGATGTAATTCAAATATTTTCCAAGTCGTTTAAAAGTTTCAGAATCTTTTACAGCAATATGCTGTAATGTTCTTTTACTACTGCCTGATACTTCATTAGTGTTACAGTATATATATTTTAATGCTTTAATTATTTTCTTAAATGAGTAAGTACTCAAAGCCAGCTTGGAAAGGCTTAGCAACAGCAATAAAAATGTTCTTCTACATAATACAATTTGTGATATGTAATTAGTTTCAATTTTGTGGTATTACCATCTGACCAAACTTCTTTTAAATAGTGAAAATTAAAATTCATAAATAATTAACTGCTGATTAAAACAAACAACTTATACACAGAGCCTTTTTTTTAATTATCTTACACAGTAATGATATTAAATGGTTCAAACCAATTCTTCTTTCATCTCTTTTCGACCATTGTGTCCGTGGCATAAACCTTTATATATATAAGAACTTAGCAACTGATGAATTTATTGAAAGATCAGTTTCATCCTCACATAAAATATTTATAAAAATCTCTGAATACCAAGAAACACCCACAGAGCAGAAATCATCATAGGTCTTTTGCCCGATAAATTGTATAAGGCAGATGATATAGTTTTTCTTATAACAATACAACAAAGTTTTAAGTGTGCAAGTTTAACACAAAACAACTAATGATTTTTTTTTCACTTAAATATTAATATGGTTTATTTATGAAATAAATGTAAATCATACTAAAATACGTGGACAAAAAATAAATCTGTTATTACTTGATACATAATAATGTTTCTTTCCAAATTATGTCTCAAATGTTGACACTTTTATATACATACAAACGTTGAATTTAAGAACAATAAAGAGATATTTAGGTCCATCTTGGCTCTAATGGGAATCCACTAAGCTAAACTCTAAAATAAAACTTAAACCCTCAAAGCCAGCCTTTATCATTCACCTACTTATCAAGTCTCCCCCAAACATTAACTGCATCCATATAGTCTGAAGACAACCAATTCCAAAGGCCAACCCACCTTGTTAAAAATTAAAGCTGTCTTAGCTGAAGATGACCCCTACCCTCTCAAAATCTATATTTGTGCCCCCTAGTCCTACCATATTCAACAATAAGAACGGAAACAAAATACTGCTTCAAAACTATCAATCTTAAACACCTCAACCAGATCCCCTTTAATTTATTTTTTTCAGGAGAAAACAATTACAGATATATCTTAGCCTGTTGTTATATGAATTACAGATATATCTTAGCCTGTTGTTATATGAAAACCTTTCTATCCTAGATAACATCCTGGTAGCCTTCCTCTGAACCTTTTCCAACAATTCAAAGTTTTTGTTTTTTTAAACACAAAATAAGAAAGGTTCTTTTTTATTTTTCCTCCAGTACTTTCATTCCATAGATATTCCTAATCTTATTCATATTTTCATGACAATTTACTATGCTACATGTTTTTGTAAACCCTGTGGGAAAATAACTCAATTAATAATTACAGTATACCGTATTGCCCCTAATTACCACCCCCAGGGGCACTGGAAACTGCAGAAGGGGGGGGGGGGAAGACACCGATTTGTTGATTTCAATGCTAATAAGTCTTTGTGTGTGTTTGTTTTGTTTCTTTCTTTTTCCAAATCAAAATTACGGTAATAAAACTGGATTATTTGTTGGTTTACTATTGCTGTCAAAATTACAGTAATAAAGTGTTTACATTAGCGGATTATATGCTTTATAACAGTTGCTGTCACACAAGGTAAGCTTTATATAAATACTGAGGGGGTGATGATTAGAGAAGGGGCTTTAATTAGGTGCAATACAGTATGTATCACTTCAAAGTAAGCTGTCTATGATTTTTAAGTTTATAACAGAATAAATATCAGTGTAGAATTTCAAAAGGATCTATTTTGGGGCTACGAATATTTCAAAAATTTGTAGTCAAGAATTTTAGAAAATATATGAAATGCAAATAGTTTTGTTTAGTAGAGCATTTTCATGATTTCCAACATTTTATTTTTTCTTCCTATGCTTACAATGTGGTTGCTTATATACTGTGAAAGACTATTTTCAGCAAATTAAGAAGGTCTTACCGGTCTATGCTCTCTTGACTACTTGTTTTCTTGGCTGAAAAGATAAAATTAAATAAAATTTTTAAAAGTACAAATGTGAAACTATAACATTTATAATTATGGCTTTCTTAGAAAAAATGTCATTCTTGATATGTCCTGAAATAAATATTTCCTATTTTGAAAGTAGTCAAAAAGCCTTATATTTCCCACAACGTTTAAAACCATCTTAAATATTTATAAAGTGTGTGTTAGAATATTAAATAACTAACTGTTATGCAGATTTCAATAAGATCTTGTACTCAAAACATTAATGTTCCTAGGATACAATTATGGTGAAGAAAACAACACAAAAACACACATAAACATGGATCAAACAAAAACATGTTTATTTTTTGGGGATGACTTCCTGATTATATGTAATTATAAAATTTATAGAATTGTTTTGAGATCTGTTCCAGACTAATAAATCTGCCACAAATGAAAAACTTTCAGTCATTAAATAGAAAAAAGCTCTTCTAGTCTCCTATTTTTATACAATTGTTTGAACATTCACAACTGTTTTACAATACTTAACCAACAAACACTTCAGGAAAATTATGCATATTTAGTAGCTGTATGCAAAACTAGTTTATCGGAGATGTATTAACACCAGGCACCTGTTTCTTTTCCTGAAATAGAAGAGTCAAAGTCCTTTCCTCCATACATGTGCCACACTATTGACATTTCCCTCAGTGTATAACGCCACACTGCTGGTGGAAAGTGTTTAGGAGCTCGCAGTTGATCACTTTTACCCAAGGGAACAGAAAAATGACTCTCCACCAATTTAACCGGTTCAGTTGTTAAACATCGTACTTGAGGCTCTCCACTTTTAGGCTGTTAAAAAGTAAAACAATGAAGGTTTTCTTTTAACTAAAAGTTGTAACAAAAATTAGGTTATCTGATGCATTTTAAATTCACAGATTATTAGCTCTCTCAACATGGGTTTGGTCAATTTGACTGACCACGTGACCTCTTTGTACTCGTTTAAAGTCTTTATTAGTTTAATACTTATAACTTTCATTATAGTGTGTATATCTTCAAAAATTTGGCAGTCTTTCAAGTTAATATTATAAGTCTTTCAGATACCAAAAAATCATATTTTTTTAGTGAAGTATTTTTAATAAAATAAAATAAAGATTTGTCCATGAACATATCAAGTATTT